AGAGATGATATACATATATTATGCATGATAATATATAATAGTATAATATCATATATATATATATATAGATATATATAATATATATATATATATTATATATATATATTATATAATATAATATAGCAGGAGATATAGAGATGCATGAATATATATAGCATGATATAGATATGATAGATATATATATAGATATAGATATATAGAGATATATATATATAATGTATATATAGAATGGAGTATATATGTATATAGAGATAGGTAGTATATAGGTGAGATATATATAAGGACGATAGTATAGATATAGAGAGATGCATTACATAGAGTAGTATAGATAGATATATATGGATATAGTATGATACATAGTATATCGATTATGACATATATATATATATATATATATATAGAGACTATATATATAGATATAGCGATATAATAGAGGCAGTGATATTTAGAGAGATAGAGATATGAGATATATAGATATATAGATAGATACTATGATATATCATATATATGTTAATGATATATAACATATTATATGTAGATATGGTCATATACAGAGTATGTAGATATAGAGAGAGATAGATGACAGATTAGGAATAGAGAGAGAGAGATAGAGAGATAAGGGAGAGAGTTTAGGATAGTAGATAGATAGAGATAGATATAGATTAGATAGGAGAGAGAGAGAGAGAATAGATGAGATACGAGAGAGAGGTATAGATAGAGAACCAGAGAGAGGGAGAGATGGGCGGAGACAGAGGGAGGGATAGAGATAGAGAGAGAGATGAGAGAGAGAGAGAGAGAGAGTAGAGAGAGATAGAGAGAGAGAGAGGGAGATAGAGAAAGGGAGAGAGAGGATAGAGAGAGAGAGATAGAAGATTAGAGCGAGAAATAGGAGGGAGAAGATAAGGAGATAAGAGTAGATGGAGATATGAGGACAAATAGCGAGTAGGATGTAGAGAAGAGAAGAGATAGAGAGCATGAGTAGAGAAGAGAGATATGATATGGAGAAGAGAGAGAGATATAGAGAGGAGGAGAGACAAGAGAGAGAGAAGAGATCGAGACTGAAGATATATATATATAGAGAGATCTATATATACAGATATATATGCATGAATAGATATATATATATATATAGCGATCTATTATATATATAATAGATAGGATATATAATAGATATAGAATACATATATAATGCAGTGATATAGATAATAGATATATATATAGATAGCACATCTATTATAGAGATAGATATAGATATAGGAAGGATATATATCTATATATATATTATATATATATAGATATATATAAGTATCTAGATGTATATAGCGTATATATATGTATATAATAGATAT